TGGGATTTCAGATGGCAACTTGATCAGCTACACCACCACAATCTGGAAAATCTGCTAAAGTGCAAGAAATCCCAGACATCCGTGGGCCACTTACACCTCAATGCATACACACTAAGTCTGGTGCTTCCAGATAATTCTGATTCCCTGGCCACACCGTGCCTTTTTGGGATGCCCATTTTGGGACTCCACACATCTGGTGCTGTCAGGCAAATTGTGCATGAGTACATTAGGGCTTACAGAGTAGAGCAGTACCTATGTGCAGTGTGGAGCTTACTGCTGACCACCACACTGCCACGTGCTCCTGTCCAGGGTATGCCAGACAGGAGTAAAGAAGCGCTGCGTGAAGGATGGAAGCACTGCAGGATTCAAAAGCAGATTTCCTCCCTGCTTTGTAGCAAACCCAGCCACAGGATGAAACAGTCATTTCTCTCTCTTCTGCTCCCCTCAGTGTCTTTATTATTCTGCACAACATGAAGCAGCTTTGAGAGGCTGAAGGCAGGTTCTGGAAGGCTGGCCCTTGTGATGGTGAGGGCGGGCTGCAGGGACAGAATCAGTGTGAGCTGGATCCTGTCACACAAGCTACCCAGGCGTTCTCTAATACCTCAAAGTGGAACTTTTTTAAAAAACGGCTGCTCCAGAGGATGTTTCTGTGCAGAGACAGATCTGCTGGGGATGTTCAGGCACCATCTGGCTGGCCAGATGGACTGGGAATACCTAGGCTGACACTGGGGGGGTGAGTGCATCTGTGGTAACAGCGTCAGTCAGCACATCAGGGACATGGGGTGTGTCTGTGACCTGGAGATACCCACCCTGTGCTCTGGGGTGCACAGCCCAGACACATCTTACATACGTACAAAACAGTCAGAAATAAGAAATTAATTTTATATTTTAAAAGAAGCCTATGCCAACAGAGTGAGCATGTGGTAAGGGCAGTCAGTTTTCTTGATCCTCATAGCAAAACCTTTAAGTGTTTGAAAAATTAATTTTTAAATAACCAAACTGTATTATCAAAAATAATTTTAAAAACTTGGAAAAGTGAACTACTGGAAACTAATTTAAACTGAAGTACCAGGATTATGAAGTAAAAGGATTTCAAATTCTAAGGCACTCCATAGTCCATTCTGGTTTTCAGATATGACTGCAATGAACCTGTCCAGAGAGGTTTTAATCCTTTCCCTGTATTTAGAGGCTTCCTAAAATCTGTATCTTTTGTTGTATTTGCCACGTGATTAAAAAATGCAAGAAAAACTTTCTGTCATTTGATAGATAAAGTTCAGAAGAAGCCATATTTGCCTGTTGAGAATGAGTATTTCTCTACTTTCTACATGAACATTTGCACACAATGTTACTTGCAGGTTTCACTGCAACTTCTGGTTTAGCAGAACATACAAATAAAAAAAATATGTGAAGGACAAAAATATATTCTGAGATAGCTTTTCACTAGGAATATGGTTAATAGGGGGACAGATGGCTCTTGGTCACTGGGTTACATTCCCTGACCTGAAATCCACCATATGAACCAGCTTATTTACTGATCATACTGGGAGAGGCTAAAAAAATGCATGTGCCAGAGACTGACTGTCCTTCCTCTGTCCAGTTCAGGAACGAGACAGTGGTAGAGCAGAGGTATAAAAGTGAAAGCAGATTCCAAAAGCCACCACTGGAAAACTGTATTTGTACAGAGCAGAGGCAGCATTTGGATACAGATGTACCATGTAACCTCATTCCTGAGAGAAGAGCCCTGTCAGACTCAAAAACTAATATTTGGCATGAGAAAGAAAAGTATTCTTTCTTCCATACAGAGGAGACAAACAGGATTACTCCTTTCTGTCCCTTTCAGCAGGTATGCAGTGAGATTGTCCAGGTACATGGAGACACATCTTTTGTTACAGAGAGTTTTCAAAGATCAGGCTGTTTTGAGAGAAGTGCTCTTTGTCTGTCTTTCCCCCACTCCCTTCAACTGTGGCAGCCAAGGATGGTGAACCTTAATGTTGAAAAATGTTACCTGAGGGCACAGAAGGAGACCCGAGTAAGAGGAAAACAAAATAGTTAGATGGATTAAGTGAGGTGAGCTCATGAAATTTCTTCATAAACAGAAATGACAGGCTAGCTTGGGAAAATCAAATTTTCTTAAGCATTCCTGACAGCAGAAACTGATCAATAGGAGCAAATGTGTAGTGAACCAGACAGTGACAGAAAACCAAATAAGGCTGTCTCTGGACTCAGCAAAACAAACCAAGTAAGGGAAAACACATGAGGAGCAAATGTGTAGTGAACCAGACAGTGACAGAAAACCAAATAAGGGAAAACACATAGGCCATGCTAAGGAAAGAGCCATGCTCATGTTTGCAAAGTGCCACCAGGTACTTGCAGAGGAGCCTGAGTGCATGAGGAGAGCCAGAGACACCGACTTCAGCTGACCCTGACAGAAAGCATGGGCTTCACTTTCATGGCACAAAGGCCCTCATTCCTCATGTTCTACCTGGGAGACTCCTTCTAGTAAAACTAGAAGCAATCAAAACACTATTGCTGTTCAACATTAAACATTTTCAGAATTACTTTTGTGCTGGCTGTCTACACACACGGAAGATTGCACCTTTTTTTTAAAATTCACAGAAGCTTCCTGCTATTTCTGCACAGTATTCTTACTAGAATCCAGCCACTCTATTTCCATAACCAATTTTTTCATCACTGGTTTCTGTTTTGTCAAGTGTATTAATCAAGAAGATGATGTCAGGCTTTACACATGTTTTTGAGGTTCTCCAAGACAGCACAAAATCTTGATGGAAACAGGAATCCTACATGCCGTTCTCTCAACAACCCACAACCAGGTTGGGCACTCAACAAGCCACAATAAATCCAAACTTAATTCAAAGTAGAAACTGACTTTTCTAGATTATCATTCATTTTAATTAGTATTAATAACAGTATAAATTCATATTTGGAATGGTTACTGTTACCCTCTAGAGCATACAGAAACTTTAATGTTTTGCAAATCAGAGTGTCAAGAAAAGCCAATGCATTATTAGTGTCCTACACAAAGTCTTTGGATCCCAATACCTTAAAACTTTGCTTGATATTCAAACTTTACATATGAATACTGTTTAAAAAGAAGACACAAACCCAATTACTTAACACAGACTGACCAACAAAATATCTGTACTCTAAAAATGTTATGGACCACTTCTCCCTTTGAAAAGGCAGTTCACGTACAGCAAGATTAATCACACATCCATCTCACAAAGTTTAAGCACCTCTCTATTCCAATATTTTTAAACCTTGAAATAAAAAAAAGTCAGATCATCATAACAAGACTTAGTAGCTCCAAGTCAGCCAAAGAGGGAGTCCCAGGCAAAAGCCTCACGAAAGAAATCTGTAAGGCTGCTGAAGTTCCCATGCAAACCAAGATGCAGAGACAGAGTGTGCCATTCCTTGCCAATTCCTCTGTGTACTGGTTTTTACAGCCCAAAAAAAGGAGCCACAGTAGAGAGAGGACTCTGAAAAAGCTTGGAGTAGGAATGCAGAAAGGTCATTCAATGTTACTTCTTTCAATCTTGTGAGTCGTAAGCATTAAGTTACGCCACTGACCTAGGGTCAGGATCTCACACTGAATAGCTTACCCTGTCTTACACAGGAAATCTGCAACAAAGCTAGAACTGAACCTGGAGATGCAGATTTTACCTTTCCTTTCTCAGTCATAGCTCCAACCTTCCTTGAAAAAGGGGGGAGAAATATGCATCTGTTTAATTCTGAGTATGTGTGTGAATCTTATAGTTTTTGGGTATGTGTTTATTTATCTGGTGACTTCAAAGTTTTCCATTAATGAAAAAATTCAGAGTTTCTGCTCAACAGACCTTAGACTGCAACTGTAGGTGATCTCATTAGAGAAAGAGTGCTATTTTGCTGCGGGAATAATTAGCTTCATTTTGATAAATTGTTTTCTGCCAAATGACTATAGAGATACATTTTAAACAATAAAATAATCATTTTTTAGATCAAGCTACAGCTCCTAGGTTAATCAGTCTCCTACAGGAAGTCTTCCTCTCTGCATGAACAGAACCTTTTTATTGAAATGGAGGGGACATGACCTGTAAGTGTTCTTTCATCTATGTGGCATAATAGCTCAACTTCCTCCTTAAACAAAAACCAAGCCTCCAAGAAAAGAGGATTATTTTTCTCTCCCTTTTCCTTCATCATGATCTTTCTTACACCTTGCCGTAGGCTATCCTGTCATTTTCAGATTTTTGATTCCTTGATGAAACAGAGTATAATCTTTCTCGCAGATGTTGTTGAAAGCACCAGGGAGCCAGCTTTGTGCTTATCTGTCCATAGGGTGCATTTATATTCTGCCCACACAGGTATGTTTTGGAATTAATAGTAATAACTTTTTCTGAGTACTCCAACAAAGAGCTGCCTCCAAGATCATGACTGTGCCATAAAGTTAAATCACTCATTCCACCACAGGGAATGAATCAACCAAGAGTTTAGAAATGTGATTGAAGAGTTACAACTGACTTAGTGCAAAACGTTGCATGCTAAAATGTACGGTTATGCCCAAATGCTGTGTGGAGGCTTTGCTCTACACGCCTTGTCAAGCAGGAGTCGACATTGGCACTTTAACATTTGTCTTAAAGCAACAACCAGGTTGGCTTCAGGTGACCTGAAGACAAGCACAGCCTATGCCTTGATTTTCCAACATGAGTGTGAATCAAGTTCTGGCATGAAGTAAAAACCACCGAACTAGTAAGAACTGTAGCAAATACACAGGAAAAAAACCCATGGAAAATTGGTGAAGCACCAATCAAATACATAGATTTATAGGTGTAACAAAAGAGAACATACTCCTTTGGAAAGGTTAGTGACTACCTCTTTTCATGCTTTGGGTGCTGTCTTGTTATTTATATACAGCACACGCATAGAAATATTTATATATAGAATATATAAATATATACAGCACACGCCACATCCCTTTTGTCTAATTAAGTGTAATCCAGTCTTACCTGGCAAGTCCATATCGACGTGATTATGAATCCATCATCTCTGAAGACATTGAAGATTTCAATGATGCCCCGTGAATAACCAAACACAGAGATACTGGCATCTGACACTGCCAAGTTAAATGTGAGGTAGTCGGTGGGCTGCAGAAGATGTCTTTGCTTATACAGGACAAAAATCACAATGCTGTTTCCAAACCAAGACAACCAACCTGGAAAAAAAAATTAAATCCATGGGACTTGATGATCTTTATGGTCCCTTCCAACTCAGTCCATTCTACGATTCTATGAAATCAAAAAGCAAATAAAGAAAGAAGCTGTTGAGTCTGTAAATTTATCATATATCTTCTAAAATTCCCTTTTGTTCCATTGGAAGTATGTTTAGCCAGAAAATCCACTAGAAAACTATGCATGAAACCTTTCTGAGCAGCTGAGTACATTTCAGAAATAGGAGCAAGTGAGTAATTGAGTGCAGCAATAAAACAGAACAAACACAAAAATCTGTTGCTACTGAAGATGTGCCATTTAAGGGCAATAAAACAGAACAAACACAAAAATCTGTTGCTGTACCTACTGAAGATGTGCCATTTAAGAGTTTAAAGTGGATTTTTTCCCTAAAGTTTTTTTCTTTAAATGGATAGATGAAACTTGTAAGTGTTACACCTGGGAAAATAGGAAGGAAGAAAAATTGGGAGAGTGAAGCAGAGACTACAAACAATCTGCCAAAATCTGCAGCTGTTTAAGTTCCCCATATACGATAATGGATACAGAAAGTTCATGCACGTAGCCAGAGGGCTGCTTTATCAGTTCTCCTTAGAAAAGTGCAGCTAATACAGCTAGGTTTCTTCTCTTGGAACAATCTAGGATCTCCTTGCAGCAAAGTCTGTCCCAGATGGGAATATTTTTCAGTAATGCACATGATAATCCATATGAAGAGAATGTTTGGAATAGAACTTCAAAGTCTCTTTTATTTAATTTTACAGAAAGTTGCATTCTCTCTTACTCTCCAGGAACAGAGATGCCAGACTTATATGTGTCTAAATATGTGAGTAAAACACAAGGGAGATAACTGTAAAGCTGGTGAAAGTCAGACACTCTGCTGGAGAGACCTAGAGTTTCCAAATGTCCACATCTATTGCTCTGCCCTTCAGTGCAAGACCCTGGTGGCTTGCATCCCACTTTTTGAAATTACGTGGATCTGTAGAGATGAATGACTTTTAACAGAAAGCATATTGGTAAGTGTCAGGTTCATTGTTGAAAATGTGGCTTAGCCAGTTAAGGGGGTGGAGGGCTGAGCAGCAGGTCAGGCAGCCCCTGGCTGTCTGCTGGCTCCTGCTTCTATCCCACAAACCAGCTCTGCCACTTCTGACATTGGTGGCCCCACTTCACCTTGGCAAGGTAGAGCAAGACATGACCTCTTTTGAGTGTCTGCTGCCGATGACAGGATAGGGAATGCAACACGTGGTGGCTTATGCCGGGTTACAATATTACCAGGTGAGGGAGAAAAGAGCTGCCCCACAGCCCACTGCCCAGGCACAAACAGTAGATACCCCAGAATAAGGATGCTGTATATTGACCCAGCAAGAGATGAACAAACACAATAAAGAGGGATGAGACATGATGGCTCTGCACAGCATATCTGGGTATTCAAAGGAGTCTGTGCTATGAAAGATGGCTGATAGGTTTCACGTTGTAGCAAGAGGGCAGCTGCCTTCCTTTGGGAAGCGCAGCTTCAATGTCAAGAATCCAGCACCTCACTGCCAGGCTGCTGTGACTAGAAAGGGAGGGGAGGAAATTGCCTCTCCATCTCCAGGCCATGTGGGAGTCTCAGGAGCTGAAATGCCAATCAGCAAGGCATGTGTTCCTTAAAGAAAGAGACTGAGCATATATCTCCTGGTGAGGTGCTCTCAGTACTTTGGAGTGGGAGGGAGGTGGTTGATGGGACAGCCTCTGTATAGCTCTATGAACTACTTCTTCTTTAGAGCAATTTACTTTTAATAGCTTCTTGCAACATTGCCCAGCTTCTGCTGCTTCACCTTGTTTAGTAAATGCCCATGGTTTACTGAAGAGTATTTGAACTGGCAAGAGCTGAAATGTCAGCATATGGTATTGATCAGAAATAATCACTGGTGTGGTGATACCCTGAGATACACACATGCATTCTATATATATCTTGTTATAAGATCAGCAAAAATAAATGTATCTTGTTCTGGCCACTAGATGACAATGTTTCTTAATCAAGTCTTGTTTTGAACAACTGCATGCACTTTAGCTCAGGGATTTTCTGACTTTTGTTTGAGTCTAGGTACTATAAATAGGCAGAGCAGGGCAATGGGGGAGGAAGGCTTTGGGAAGGAACGAGAATAGCCTGCAAAGCAAACATGGGAGTTGTGTTGTTTGTGTATGTTGGTTCTACTCTCTGCAAGGTTAGTTATCGAGGCAGTAGGTATGAAATATGTCCATAAGAAGAAATAGTGCTAAAATGGCAGACAAAATAAAATGGCACCTCGGATAGGAGGGCTACCCTCACAGTGTCAGACACCTGCCCTTCCTGGGGATATACACAGCAAATTCCCCCTAGCCTGGAGGATAAGGGAGTTTTCAGTTAAAGTGTCTTAAGGAAGAACTTGAGCAAAACATCACATCAAACAACACTGCACATTTTAGGGTAATGAGAGGTGAGAGAGACATGGTACCTGTGATCATTTTTGGAAACTACGTTCACAAACGGAGGTTGGAGATGAGGGAAGCATTGAGGGAGATAAGGTTACAGAGCAAGTACTATTTCTGCAGGTAGGCACAGTATTTTAAGCAAAGCAAAGCAATGGAGAACCTGCGGTGGCATATCCAGTCCTTAAAATGGTTTGTCTGGGTAGTAGACCATATTAATTCAGATTAAAGAAAACCAACCAACCAAAAAAACCCAAAAAAACCCCAAAAAACAAACATACAAAAAACCCCCCAACAAACAAACAAACAAAAAACCCACCACAAACAAACAAAAAAAAACAAACCCAAAACAAAACTACCAAACCAGAAGAAAATAAATTCTTAGTAAACCATGCAATAACAAAGTCAGTGGTCACATAAAAGTGCTGTCAACTAGAGTAGTGACTATGGGACACTGGATCTCTGTGCCATCAGATACATGTGCTAGTCTGAGTTGCTGCCTGTATTGACTGACTGACTTTAAAAACCCCAAACAGACCATCCCACAATAACAAAGTCAGTGGTCACATAAAAGTGCTGTCAACTAGAGTAGTGACTATGGGACACTGGATCTCTGTGCCATCAGATACATGTGCTAGTCTGAGTTGCTGCCTGTATTGACTGACTAACTGACTTTAAAAATCCCAAACAGACCATCCCGAAACAGAAAATCACCCCAATCAAAAGAACAGCTCAAAACAAACAACCCCTCTCCCTTCCTCCCCCAAGCCCTGACAGCATCACAGGGAAGAATGTTGAAAATTCAAGGCAAGCAGAGCAATAGCAGTGACACTCTCAGTGAGGGCAGAGATCTCCTCAACTCCATTTCAGGTGGTGTGTGCCTCAGGGACATCAGAGGTAGACCAAGAGCCCAGAAAGAAATCTCTGAATTTTGAAGTGCCTCCATGTTACCAGGTGTTATCTCAGTAAAACAGAAGATAGAAAATAAACAACTGGGGGAACTTGGTCCATCTTTGGCAAGCTGTTACTAATATTCACTTGTAAGAGTATGCAGAAAAACCCAACCAACCCCAAAATCCAAACCCAGCATACTAAGGGGATACTAAGCATACTGGGGAAAAAATGGCAGATTTCAAGTGAGGTCAAAATGTGGCAAGAGAGAAAAAAAAATAGCAGCTAGGTAGAAACTGAGCACTGCTACCCAGCATAAGGTTCAGAGAGGGATCACCACATCTTTCCCATAAGCACAGTCTGACTTGAGTGGTTCATCAGAGAGATGCTAGATCTTCTGACGTGGCAAAATACACAGATAATATGCAAATACTTCAGTAGTTTTTCAAATATTGTGAGGTAGGAGGAATTGGATGGACAGCAGTATTAAAAATGTTGTATCACCCCTATATAATTCAGTAGTAATCCTTCTCCTGGAATAACACTGTCTAAGAGAGCATTTTAATCCACAGATGTCAAAAGCACTCCACAAGGAAGTCTGGTGCTGTTATCCATGATTTCTTGGGATAGAAGAGCTGCCAAGCAAGCTGACTTTCACCAGCTTGCTTGGCAGCCCTTCAGCTATTCACAAACTCCTGTGTCAGAGTGATGCCCACCAGCCCATGCAAACAAAGCACCAGAAAAGTAGCCAGAAAAGAGTGACTAAGGAGACTGAAAATCTTTCTGCTGAAAGCAATTGAGAACACTGAGATTGTTTGACTCTCAGAATATCGAAAAAGTACATTGTAATTTTAAAAATATTTCTGTCAAATCACTCCATCCTGTGCATTCAGACATGCCCTATTTTTTTCTCTTGTGCCTGAGATGGTCACTGAACAAGCAATAAGCACCTGAGGCTGCATACAGTTTCCTTGTTAACATTTTTCCAAAGAACTAAATTTGGCACAATTGAATTGATAGCTCTGAGCTGGTCATCCACATTTCCAACAGATTAGTTCACCTGTGCCCAGCCAAAATAGGATATTATGTCTTCTACTTAGACTTGCTCTTATTAGACATTGTTGCAGGGCCTTTACTTGTAAAACTTGGCAAGACTGAAATAGAAAAATGTGTGTTACAACTCAGCCATATGCAATTTAAAATACATATGAAGCCTTAAGTGGAAGAACTCAAGAAGTGAGAGCAAAAGGTGAGGCTCAGTGTCACAAGACAAACTAAGCTCTTTCCTCAGCAAATAACCTTCCTCCAGGACGAAATTGGATTGAGCATCTTAATGCAGAGCAGGCATGAATGAAATCAGTTACTTACACAACTACACATACACAAGCATAAATGCCTATCAGAAGAGGCTTGCTGCAAAAGATTTTCCGTCCAGAAAACTTTAATTAAAACAGTGATAAAATCCAGAGAATTTGCAAAGCTGTCATTAACTATTGCAACTGTGATATGACCCTACTCTGTTTTCAGTCTTTGCTGCCAATTATACACACACAATATCCTGTCCAGGGCATATTGCCAGTTCTGGCAGGAAGGAAAAGAGTCATCTTGTTTTAGACTTGACAAAGCATGGACAGATTATTTGTTCAATAAATGCAATCATTTTGGGGATGAATGTTCTGTGAATAGCTTATTTCCTTTCCCACCTTCTCAGATGTATCTGTCAAACAAAATCCAAAAATTACACTCATTCTGTCACTTGTCAAGTAACAGTTTACTATTACCATTCAGAAGTGTGTGCCTTTTAAAGACATGTTTAGATCTTGTGATCAGTTCTGATGGGATTGGTAATGCACTCAGCATGCCTTTCTGATGGAAGCACTCACAAAATGTCAGAATTTGCCCTCTAATAAATACTCTCTCCTATTGACATAAAATGTCCTTTTATGCCTTGTATTTACTCTAACAGGCGCAGATAAGAGTGAAACGAGGGGAAGCAAACAAAGAACAAATTACGTTGAACAATTCTGCATAAATGCAGGAAAAAAACAACCCAACTTAAGAATTCCAGTTAATAATTATGAAGCAAAAAAAGCTTTATATTTTTTCTCCATGTCTAGAAGCCAGCAGCAGTGGGCAGTGCTTTTAAATTGTACCTCATAATTTAAACTGTACAAGGATTTTCCACAGTACTGCACCACTTATGGCATAGGCAAAAAGGGATCAGATGTAATCCCAGCAGCAGGACAAGCTTTCACCTGTCTGTTGGAGACAATTTTGAGCTCACTGAAGGGAAGGATGGGATCAGACTGCCGCCTTCAGAAAGAGGATGCTGACGCAGGTGACCTGGCACAGGGTAACACAGCAGTTACTATCACTTGCAGATAGTCCCTCTAAGAGTGGATCACTGCTTGAACAGGCATTGCACCTTCCCCCCACTTTGCTGATCCCCTGGCCACAGCATTAACAAGGAGAACGATGGAACAGTAGCTTGGGTGTCAAGAAGCAGTGATCTCAAAGTCCATCAGCATTTGCAAAATGCACCACACGCTTCCTGCTGGTTTGCTGGTGGTGTCATCATGTGACACCACTGCACTCAGGCTCCCATGCAGGGTGCTGAGGAGCTCTCACCTGGATCCAACACTGCCTGGCTGCTCTACCACGTACAACACATACATCAGTGTCCTGTCTGTCACAAATGACAGCTGTGCTACCTGTCACCTGTGGGAATTTCCAGGAGGGGACACACAGAAGCCTTATCTCAGCAAAAGGTGTTAGACCATGGCTCTTGGATATTCATGAGCTCTGTCAAGATGAATGACTCTGGGAAGACTTGGCCAAATGTAGTTAGGGTTTTAGGACTTCATCCTGCGAAGGTGAGGAGATTCAGAGGAACCTCATCTTCTGGATACATGCTACTACCAATCACATACATCTCCTTGGTTTTGGAAACGTACATCAGAATTTGCAATAAGCTGCACTGCCACACTTAAATTCAAAAGAGAAGAAAACATTTAGTAACTACCAAAGTGTAATCATTGAAGCCATTTTCCAAGGCATCAAAAACCCAAGACTATAAAATATTAACATCTTTGGGGCTTTGTGTAGGGACGTATCCACAGACTCCTGCCAACGTGTGCTGTCTTGCCAGAGCCCTAAAGCACCAGAGGTACAGGAAGCTAGCACATGGACTGGCCATTTTTCTCTGCTGCCAGAAGGACAAGAGAGTGTCTATATGACAGAGAACTTCTACCACATCACAGCTCCCTGGATAGAATGAGTTATTGGTGTACACAAAACTAATAACTATAAATTGCTGTGGCTAGTGCTTGCAGAACTGTGACAGTAGATCTTTGAAAAGAAATTAGGACTTTCCTTTCTTGATTTATGTATAACTAACAGATTTTTTCAAAAGTTATCATTTCCAAAAGGTACATCCATCAATTTTAACCAGATCTACACTACACTTGGAGTAGTGCTCCTGCTGCTTGTACATACTCTGCAAGAAAAGGAACTTAAGTTTTGGATCTTGAGGTAAGTTAAAAGAACAGCAGCTATGGCATGCAAAGCACTTGTAAGCTTGGCTGAAGGATCTGAAGAAACTAAACCCCAATAGCCTAAAGGCTCAGGCACCTAGATATTTGCTAGAGGATGTGAGATCACTAGCAAGAAGCAGCAGAGGAGAACATTTCTGCTAATTGATTGATGGAAGAAGTCTGAGCTAGCAGTGTGATGCAGAGGCAATACTGGAAGGGATCAGAAGAATTGATAGAGGGTAAATATGAATGTGAATAGTGATGGCAAGACCCTGCTTGGATGCTGTATTCAGTCCTGGCTATAAGGCTGCTGGGATGACAGGGGACAAGATCTTATGAGAGGAGATAAATAAATATAATTATCCCCTGCCCGCCAATCAACCAACCAACAAAATAAAATTCCCTCAATGCTTAATATAGGAATACAGAGGTAGACTTCAAAGTATGAGTGTTCCTTCAGGAACATAGATTTGCCATAGGATGTCATTCACAAGCAAAAGTTTATTTCAATTAAAAGGAATGACCAAAAATTGCATAAAGCTATGTTATGATCACTTTAGCTAAGAATTCAGGTGAAGCTCCTATCCAACAGAGAAACAAAATCAGGAATATGCTTTTGGAAGAGTGATAACACCAAAAAAAATCCCTAGCCAGTTATATGAGAGAGCATAATAGCTGTGCAAATGAGATTATACATTGTCTCTGCAGGGGACTGGCCTTGCTGACCTAGGATGTTCTTTCTAGTCTTAAGTGCAACTGCTTAATTCTTTAGCTGATGGTGCAGACATTTCCCAGCCATTCACGAGGGGATACACAGATGTGAACAGTGTGAGGATAAATTGGAATACCTCTGATTTACCTTACAGCCACTCTCCTAAGATAGAAGCCATATATATTCCTACTAGAATCTCTGGTTTTGTTCTAAGCACAACTTTCCTCAATTTCTAGAGATAAAAATAAGAAAGTCTCATGTAAACATATTAAAATACTTAGCATTTAACATTTTAACTTCCACAAATGTCAAATGTAAGCAGAGGGCTAATAAGTTAATTGAAATATGTAATAAGTTAAGAATAAAAAAAATCAGTTAGGCAAATCATTTAAAAACAGAAACATTTTTGTACATGCTGTTTAGAAGAATAGATTAAATAAAAGTTAAATTTTCTTTTATTTTTCTGTGAGGTCTTACAGTTGAAATTTTTTATTGCCTAGCATGTTTGCACTCTTTGAAATTTCATAAAGTTTCCTTGTGTTAGGCAATAAGTCTACCCAAAATAGACAATATTTAAACAAACAAAACAAAATTACAGTGGTATCAGAGTGCATTTATACTGAGTGCCATTTTCAAATCCCTGTTATACACTTACAATAGCTGTCTTCCAGCAGAACTAAAAGAAACACTTGGTATTGTGACACAGGATAAGGTTCTAGTACTTAGATCCTATTTGAAGAAGTCAATTTCTATATGCATCCAGCATTTAAAGCAAGAACAATACAAACAATTAAAGTTGAGAACCACAAAATATATTTTGTGTCTCTCCAGAAGATAATTGTAGGATGCCAACTGACTGTCAACAGCCACAACTCCGAAAATCAAGGAACATTTATTCAGTGCTACTAAAACACAAGAAAAGATGGAATTAACATGTACTTCAGATAAGGTACTTCTTTTATCTACCCACATATTAAGCTTAATGAACATTAGTTGAAAGTTTACAGGCTTGAATATATATTTTTCCTCAAGATTTCTGCATTGATAATAGATCTCTTTTTAACAAAAGCAAAATGTACTTCTCTGATCTTACAATTACTGAAGAAAAAGCTACATTTTCTACCATCCTGTTCCTTTAGGGATAAAACCCAAATGAATCACTTTGAATTTGATAACAACATCTATTTAAGAGTTTCCTTTCACACCCAAGCCAAATACCTACCTAAAGCCAACAGGTAGAAACCTATGATGGTCTCTCCTTGCTCTGTTACAGCTGCCTCTCTGGTCAGAAAACTGATGTTGTTGTTCCTCCAGGGTGCCTGTGCAGAAAACGGGACAGACATTTTCAGTGGAGCTTCTGATGCAGAAATCGCCCTTCCCCAGAATATCGTGGTGAATAAAATGGTTCCAGCCTTTTCCTCAGTTTCTGCTCACTGTGTTCAAGGGAGCTCTCAATAAGACTAACGATCTAAAGAAGGAAATCTCAAGGGACAGAAGCTTTGCAGCCTTCTGACCTATTCTTCTTCACTAATCCTATCTATTAATACAGCCTGTGAACCTGTGGCCAGCACAAGACAGAAGACTTCCTTGTATCCTCATTACTGCTATGTGCAAAAATCTTTAATGAAGACTGTGTCTGACAGAAGAGACAACTTCCTTTAAAAAGAGGTAACATCACACAACCTACAGGCTCACAGGCATACCCACACCATACTGATGTGCTGTTTACATAGCTGTACTTCCATCTTTTTTTCTTCACTGAAGATGAGTGGAATTTTAGTTCAAATGAAATTCAGGAAAAATCTCACACAAATTTTTTAAAATGGTACAGTGAAAAAAAAAACCAAAAAAACCCAGGCCCACACCATACTGATGTGCTGTTTACATAGCTGTACTTTCATCTTTTTTTCTTCACTGAAGATGAGTGGAATTTTAGTTCAAATGAAATTCAGGAAAAATCTCACAAAAAATTTTAAAAATGGCACAGTGAAAAAAAAAAAACAACAAAAAAACCCAGGTAGGTGTCACCACCTGAGAATGTAACTTTAACATAGCAGAAAAAATAATCTATTAATTTACTTTGCCAGCAGAATAGTTGTTAATTTAAAAAAGAAATGAAGGTAATTTCCAGTACAGGTGGAAAAAAATGTAAGTACTTTGGATCATATTTTTAGACTGCTAGGGACCCTGCAGTCTTGGAGTAAGCTCCAAGTATGATGTGGGATTTTTCCGATACTGTTGAAAAAATGAGATCTTGTTTTGTTGAAGTGCATGGGATTTGAGAGTCAGCCAGGAATACTTTTAGTCTTTTCTGAGATATCAATTATTGTAGTTTAGATATGGCCTCTCTTAACAGTCAGGTTGTAGTCATAACTAAAAAACTTGACTCTAAATTAATTCATCTGGAGTAGCAAAGTGGTTAAGCACCCTTTTGGATGATTGTTTCCCCGCACCCCAGTCTTCACACACTGGGAGTGATTAATACCTTGATCAGCTTGCACTTTTCTCCTTCCTCCTTCTGGTGCCATCCTCCAGTGAAGAACAGAGGCTTGGCAAACTGCTGGGTCTGTTTCAGATGACCATGCTTCCAAAGGAGAGAAAGGCTCCCTCTGCAGATTACTGGAGCCTAGTTTCATATCTCTCAGTGCTTTAGTGGTGACCAATTTAGTGGCTTCACAGAGATTATCCCTGAGTGCCTTCACTATCTTCACAAAGAGCTTTGACAGGATTAGAGCAGCATATGCTATGGGCAGTTCTATAAAAGGATGAGAAAACTAAAATGCCACGGTAGTATAAACAAATAGTATAGACTGTGTTTGATACAGTTGGAACTATGAGAAGGCATGTGAAAAAAGGACTTGGATATTTCTGCTACCAGCAAACCAATTACACCAGAAGAGCCTCCTCCTCCTCACATATTCTTGTGGGCTCCCCTTCCTGATGACTCCTTGGGATGGGAGGCAACAATCGGTTCCAAATTCCTCACAAGAGGATGCATTAATCTCTTGTGTTGGCCCAGGCCAATTTTGGTAGAAAAACCTCACCGGCACACCTCACAGATCCACTTGCCCCTTGGAACCACACACAGCTTCCCTTTGCATCGTGAGACGTGACAAGCAATACTGTGGTACTTCAGATTTTGTTTACCACATCAAGAGCATTTAAAGATGACCCTTTTCTGCCCATGGATCCTCTTAAGATGGTCAATCAACCCCAGTATCTGAGTAAACCAGGTAGCACAGCATGGACAAGATGGATTTTTAGTGAGTGCCAAGGGACCGACACAACAGGAGTCCTGACCAGTGTTCTGCCCTCACTGGTCCCAGGAAGAGCTTCAGGTGTTTTAGGCTCTTCACTGCCTCTACACACTCAGAATCATCCCGAATGGCAGGTCTCATACAGCTCAGGGAGCTCTGCCAAACCCTCCCAAACAATTCCCAGATGGACTCCAACCACACGAGCAAACACGGAGTTTACGAACTCCAAACACACCAGATTGAAACCCTCTTCCCTGGGCACAGAGGGTAAAGATGGAACTTCAGCTCCTCTGACCCTCAGGTCCAAGGGGTCAGTCTGAGTGGCTGTCGATATAAATCACAAAGACATTGATTGCACCATCGCAATAACCAGAAAAATAACAACAAGTCACAGTCCAAGTGAGGGTAGTAAAAGTCAGCAGCTGGCTCTCCCAGACTGCCAACTCTGTCCAGCTCGAGCCCGTGGACAAGGCTGTGGGCAGCAGTGAAATAAGCGTGCCAATAATTTTGTTTCAGCAAGATGGTGAGACTACAGCTGGGTGGCGAGTCCAAGCGACAGGGAAGGCGGCTTTCGCCTCTCTCACACCGGGGCAGAAGCCGGCTTTGTCACCACAAGGGGCATCCGGCTGGGCACGGGGACGACCTCCGCGGCTGTACCCAGTTAGTAACCATGCCCTGCCTAAGAGAGCCACAGTTACTGCTGCCCTAAAAGGACCCTAGAGCGCCCCATTCCCTCAGGCTGGGTCCGCAGAAGGGACACCAACAATGAGAACTTGGGACACAGCGGCCACTTCTCTGCTGCCCCGGGGAGGCCATGTTCCTGCGTGCCAATAATTTTGTTTCAGCAAGATGGTGAGACTACAGCTGGGTGGCGAGTCCAAGCGACAGGGAAGGCGGCTTTCGCCTCTCTCACACCGGGGCAGAAGCCGGCTTTGTCACCACAAGGGGCATCCGGCGGGGCACGGGGAGGCGCGACCTCCGCGGCTGTGCCCAGTTAGTAACCATGCCCTGCCTAAGAGAGCCACAGTTACTGCTGCCCTAAAAGGACCCTAGAGCGCCCCATTCCCTCAGGCTGGGTCCGCAGAAGGGACACCAACAATGAGAACTTGGGACACAGCGGCCACTTCTCTGCTGCCCCGGGGAGGCCATGTTCCTGCAGCAGGGACACGCACCCACCCGTGCCGGGACAGAGCTGCGGCGGCTCCGGAGCCCGGGCCAAGCCGGGGAAAGGGCGCACAGCTCTGGGGGCACAGCAGCGAGCCCTGGCTGGGAGCAGCCACCCAGCACGCCAGCCCTGCCGCCGCCTGCGCCCCGCAGAGCTCGGGGGAGGCAGAGCGGCCTGGCCAGGCCCTGTCCCACGGCCGCCCTCAGATCACCGCTCGGGGCCGCAGCCCAGCGCTCAGGGCAGCTGCTGCCGCCAGGTAAAGGAGCGAGGAAGCCTCCTGGAACCACGGATGTCTCAGGACACCTGACTAAAGGGAGTGATGAAATGACCGCATTAGGACACAACAGGGCAATAAAGCCCATTTTACGAACGTACCAAAGCAACCAGTGGTCTCTGAGGCAGCAGGCAAAGCCAATTTAGAGCAGATATAAGCCAGCAGTATCTTCTGCTTTGGCTGCTAAAATGTGCAACAGCCTTTGAATCCTCCCTATTTGCCTCTCTAAGTGCTTTCAAAGTGACATATATACCAGCACAAAAAGGCAAATATCATAGCAGCACAGACTAGCCTGACATACTCAGCCTGGTTACATTACAATCCAGTATACTGTTTCCAACACAGAAAAATCCTAAAAATTAAAATGTGTGTGTGACAGAAAACAGATGATGAATGTTCCCAACAAGCACCTGTTTTCCCTGAGGAGCAGAGATTTGGGCAGTTGCCAAAGGAATGATTATGTCAGAAAGCTGGTGTGAGTTCTCATAGCACTATTTTTTCACAATATCTGTTATACATCAGTTAAAGGAAAGGACCATAGAAGGAGGAGACGAAAGGAAAACTTTTCATAAGGGATGAGTTAAAATAAACCATTAGCAGATAGAAAATTGGTTGTATGGAATGAAAATACAGTTTTGCCTCTGTAAGGCATAAAATTTTCTGAAATTTTACAGAAATATAATTGAGAGATTTCAAGGCAAATCGAATGGTATATTAGTTGGAACATGTCTTTGTAGATTCTTTTTGATAAATTATTTTAATTTTTACTTCACATTTTAAATTAGAATATTCACTACAAAAAGAAAAAACTGTCTCTATCCAACAAGGCATCACTTAGTCTTGCAATGAATAGTCACACAATGATGAGTTATGCCTATGGATTTCATCAAGGTAGCCAAAAAGCAAATTTTATATCAGTGATAGAAGATCTTTCCAAATTCAGATCATGTAGTTTTTCCCTGGTTCCAATAAAATGCAGTTGTTGAAAGTATTTGCACAGATTTTTTTTCTAACATACATTGAATGAATAGGAAAAAAATTCTTGAGATCAGGGAAGTAATGCTTAAAACTTGTTGATGGATAAATGGGAATGACTGTGCCTGCTGCAAGCCATTTGGAATTGCTTACCTGTAAGAACCAGATCTGAATCTGCCCTTTTGTTGCCCATGTCCAATTTTGCAGAACAAAACCACATCTGAAATATTTAAACTGAAGAGTGATCATAATGTGAAACATGCTTGACCACTTATATTTCAAAACATGCCTGTTTAACCCTGGATGTTAGCTCTTGCTGTGACATTTTAGCATGAAAACAATTGCACTCTATGCATTCTCTAGTTAAATGTCTAAACCTTTTTTTTTTGCCTGTGTTGGGTTATTTGCCAAACTCAGTTAAGAAAATGGTTACATCACATAATAAATATATTGTAAAATCCATACTTCTGCTGTAATTTCTATGGACTTTAGCCTATTCAGTTTCATACATTATTCTTGCCCTCATCAATCCTGAATGCTAATTTTTCTCTGGGGGGGTTGTGTTCTATAGCCTGTGACAGATATTGAAAACTACCTGACAGAAAAAAATGCTTGGTCAGTGCTTATTACTGCAATATACAGTCTGAAATGAACTATTTCTCAAGGAACACT